GATCGTGATAAAAGGTCACCTTCCTAGGACCGCCTCCTGTTTAATAATTCATGAGATGACGTCATATTTACTGGGCATTGACACGTGTTTTTACCGACCCCATCAAAACACTGGTATGAATGACGTGTTTCTGATTTATATATTCAAGAGCAGTTGTTCTGGTCCAACGATTTTACATAAAATGTCTATGTCTATACGTTAACTTTCAATTTCAATAGTCTAGAAAGTATGACAAAGCAGTAATTCCCGGTTTAACGCGCAAATATGCAAATTAGCCTTTTTCTCGTCTTCTATTTTTGGTGAATTCTTGGGTTTTAAATTAAAATAGCTGATAGACGCTTTGGCCATTTGCCTCGAAAATTTCACACATTATTGACAAGGTGTCCCCCCTTCAAAATGCGTCCAGACAGTTTATTACGGCGAGTGGAACAAAAATAACAAGTCCGCAATTAACATGGATATATAAATTATGCAAAAATTGAAAAGAGTGAACTTTGAGGTCATGCTGTGCGACTTTGAAAGCCGTTAGAGAGATGAGTGGACGCATTTGAATTAGTAGTATACCAAAGTATCCAGTGATGTAATTTTACCCACAAACGGACTTGAAGTTTTTAAGCTAATTTTTTTTAAACCACTTTTGTCCAAAAAAGCATATTTTTGACCCAAAATCAAAAACGCATTCTGGATATTTAAAATAAAGACAAGTTTTACAAAGTTTGTATCATAAGCTTTCAGAAAATATATAACATGTTGGATATATAATACCATCTTCATTGTCTAATTACTCAATTAAAAAGCAAGCCGAATAAACTGCATCTCTACTTTAAATCACAATTTAAAAATCCAGGAAAATGGCCATGCTTACAACTCGCAAATAAATTTACTTGTGTTCTTCTTGGAACAAATATTCTGATTGGTTGTTTTTTGCGTCAAAATTATTCTTCTAAGTTATGTATTTTGTTTTTTATACATAATTCTATTATTTTGTGATTGTAACTGTTAACTGCAGATCAAAAATCTTCTATTGTGTAGAATTTATTTTGTTTGATCATCTTGCTTTTTGGTGCAGATGACGCACATTTATGCAAGTTTTTTAATGAACCAATTACGAACATTTGTGTGACATGATACATTTTATTTTGCTTCGTCTAAATAAATATAAATTACAATTTTTGCTGAAAATTAAATAAAGCATGTATGTATCTATTTGGTAAAATAAATTAAAAAACTTGTGTCTTTTTCTGGTCGCGATCATTACTGGTAAACAACTGATGTCTAAAACATTTCCTTAAAGCGGGGGAGTCGTCACCTGCATATGTGTCAATGGCCATAGCGTGTCACAATGTTTACAAACAAGTGTCTACCCATGAGTCTGTGTTTTTAGCGTGTGTTGTTATTGTCGCTTGGGACTCAATTCCCGCGCATACACAGGTGACAACCCTCCCGCTTTAAGATAAAACAAACTTTAAGTTTACATATATTTCATTGAAAATCAAAGAAATAACATTGTCTGTATCAAACCATAACTGAGTAATAAGAAATGATGTTAAAACATAAAGTAAGTTTTGATTATGCCACTGTCCCCAATAATGTGTACTAACCTTCAAATTTCAGAAAACAAAAAATAGCATTATGCTAAGATTCAAATCAGAAACCAAAATACCCAGTAGGAATAGTGGCGCAACCTAAAATCCCATCACAACAATAAATAGAAACTGGGCCCAGCTGACTCAAAGGTTCAAATTCAAGATGGAGTATTTAAATTGAATTTTTAAACCATATGGAATGTTGATAAGACAGCTGCACAATTTACTTACTTTTCTACCACAGCAGTATCCAAGTGATTGCATGACAGGATCTATCTCTTGTTCAAAGACCTCCGCTAATTTAGAACAATATTTATACACTCTTGAGGTCTTCCTATTATAGAGCCAAGCATTCTCAAACATTAACCACACATCATCTACATATTGCCATGGATCTTGATACTGTCCTGTGTCAAGCTTGCGTTTTATTGTAGATAAGTCTATAGGATTTGTCACTATTTGAAAATAATCCTGTAAAAGAATAGATATCGAATCAGAAACATGACAAACTATACTCGGCAGCTTGAGGCTACACAAGATATGATAACATTTAATGGATGCAATCAACATAATGCATCTATGGAAGCAAACTAGTGAAATCAATGAAGCAATTTTGCTACAGCAATATAGATGGTGCATTTGGTTCATGCAAAACAGGTTTGGATACATTCACATATTTAGAAAGAGAAGCCAACTAGACAGAGACAGAAATGAATAAAACATAGCAGAGGAACACAAAGGCACACATATAAATTGGGGTTCTCTTTCTTGGTACAGGCATACAATGGGTTCAGTTGCACCCATCCACATAAGGAATTGCAAGCAAAGTCTTACAGAAATTTGGTTGTGATTATTCCTCACCGGAATTTGCAGAAACGAAGGGTCGACTGGCTGACGAAATGGCAAAGACTCAGGATCTTGTTTATACAACTTTTCAAGAGTTGGCATCAATGCCTGCCGCAGCTCATCAGGTCTGAAAGCTAAACAAAAATGGACTTGGTAATTTAAATATAGAAATAGAATGAACATGGCAAAATGATCAAGCCAAATATTATTCAGAACAATGCTGTTTAATAATTTGAGGTACTGTACAGGTAAATATCTCATTATTCATGTCTGAATGTAACAATCCTTCAAGGACTAGATTGGATTTTGATGCACATTCTGTCAAAAAGCAACCTGTTGAGAACGCTTCTTCCTCAGTTGCACTAACATGTTTATTTACAAAAATTTCTGTGTATTGTATAAACCATGGTCCCGTCATGGCCATGGCTAAAATATTACACAATCAGACTAGCAGTTATCAAAAAAAAAAGTTGAAAATATCATTTCTTTCACCAAAAATTAAAGAATTGAAGATGTACCGTATTTGTCTTCAGTTAAGCACCACCCCCAATGGGGCGCTAGTGCCACGAAAGCATCATACTTTACACCCCAATTAAATGCCAGACAAGAGTTGAAATTTTGGTACGTAATGATCGTGAATTGGGCACTGGCGGATTGACTACCGGTTACAGGTTAGTAGGGATAGTAGACCCAATCACAGAAGTCCCTAACTGCTACTGTATGATGGGCTTTTATGCTTTTAAGAAATCGGTCTATAATCTCTCGAAACATGTCTCTTTGGTCTACTGTAGAAGTAGAAAATATTCGCGTTGTTTTTAATTTAGCGAATTTCATAAACACAAAATTAAAACTACACAAAATTTTTTTGTTTCAAATGAGCTGTTATCACAGTAAACAATGTTAAATTATTCTTTAAATGCTCAGTTTAACTTTCCAAAAAATAACTAATTTCTTGATTTGAAAACAAAAACAAGCAGCCTATCGGCTGAGATAGCTCCGCTGTTAGCAATGCACATTTCAATTAAAGAACTGAAGACATCATTAGAAAATGAACAATATGAATAGTATCAAAGCAATCGGACTTACGGTTTTTAACAAGAAGTCGAAAATATCACTTTTTACCGAAAATTACAAAAATATTCACCAAAATAAATTAATTAGAGAATTGAAGATATCATCACAAAATGAACAAATCTGAGAGGTCCACATAT